ACATGTGGATTATGAGACTGACATGAATGATGTGTGGATTATGGTGGTGAGAGAGGTGTACACCGCAGGGTTTCAAGATCTGTTCTTTGGATGATATTGGAGGAGGTCATGGAGAGGACACGACTTCTGAGGGATGGCGAGCCTGGGCATTTGGAGGCTCTCACTCCTTCCCCTGTCCTTGGGATGTGCTTCCACTTGCCTTCTACTTACTTCAAGTTGCCCCAAGGACAGAGCCTTGAGATAGTGATGTGTTGAGATAACACAAATGACTAAACCCTCTTAAGGCCTCTATTAAACTTTTTTTTTTAAGATTTATTTATTTATTTATACAAGCACTGGGTACAGTCAGAAGCGCGGGAGGGTGAGAGAATTCACCAGAGCCAGAGTGGGGAGCAGAGCAGGCAGAAGGACCGAAGTACACTGCTGAGGGGAGCAGCGGGCGGCAGGAGAGGTCTGCGCGCCATGTGGGACCCTCGCCCGGCAGCCTGGGATTGAACCGGCGCTGCAGAGGCTGCTGGCAGCTTCGCAACCCAGTGCTCAACCGCTGTGCCACCGGGGAGGCCCTCTATTAAACTTTTAAGATTTGGTGGGCAGATGCAGAAATCTACTTCTCTTGCGGTCACCCAAGAGAAGCCTCATAAGTCACTTCCCTTGCCTCCTACCAATCTGGAGTGATCTGTTTCTTCCATCTTCCCCTGCCCTCCATACATGAGGCAGTTTGCAAACCAACACTGAATATAGAAATAAAAATATCCATTTCTATACCATTATAACAGTAATAGTATCCATCACTTGACAATGGGAGAAAGATAAACTATTTTCATAGACATAATGGAATACTATAGTTTTGGAAAAATGGGAGCTACCACTTCGGTATCCAAAAAAGTGTCTAGCGCTTGATAGTTACTAAAATGTTAACAGTTCTCATATTTGAGTGGTTAGAATGTAGATCCGATTCTTCCTCTCCTTGGCAATTTTCTTTTTAAAAATGCATTTAGGGGCCTCCCTGGTGGCACAGGGGTTAGTCTCAGCGCTATCAAGCTATTGCCAGCCATGAAGCATGGGTTAGATCCTCCGCCAGGGAACTAACTCACATGGTACAACAGACCTCTCCTGTCTCGCCTGCTGCTAAAAAAAGATAAAAATGCATTTAGGTGCAGTTGGTATACAGTAATCTGTACATATTTAATGTGTATAATTTGGGAAGTTTTTTAAAAAGATTTATTTATTTATTTATTTATTTATGCATACAAGAACTGGGGTGTAGGCCAGAGGTGTGAGGGGGGTGAGGTATTCACCAGAGACAGAGTGGGAAGCAGAACAAGCAGAAAGAGCAGTGGGCAAGATAGGAGAGGTCGGCTGTGCTATGTCGGTCAGCTCCCTGGCCGGGGATCAAACTCATGCTGCAGTAGCTGGCAACATCTTGATAGCACTGAGACTTTAACCCCTGTGCCACCAAAGAGGCCCCTAATTTGGGAAGTTTTGACAAATGCAACACCCATGAATTCCTCAGTACACGCAAGATAATTAAAACCGTGCCCAGGGGGCCTCCCTGGTGGCGCAGCAGTTGAGCGCTGGGTTGCAAAGCTGCCCACAGCCTCTGCAGCGCCGGTTCGATCCCCGGCTGTTCCCCAGCCACCAGAGGAGGGTCCCACAGGGTGCGCAGACCTCTCCTGCCGCCCGTTGCTCCCCTCAGCAGTGTACTTCGGTCCTCTGCCTGCTTTGCTCCCCGCTCTGGCTCTGGTGAATTCCCTCACCCTCCCGCGCTTCTGACTGTACCCAGTGCTTGTATAAATAAATAAATAAATCTTCAAAAAAAAAAAAAAAGATTTGATGTCTGATAGACCTATAAAAAAAAAAAAAAAACCTTGCCCAGGGCCTCCCTGGTGGCGCAAGGGGATAAGACACAACCTATGAAGCTATCCACAGCCATAGCAGCAAGAGTTCGATCCCAGGCCAGGGAACTACCCACATGGCGCAGCAGACCTCTCCTGACTCACCTTTTGCTCCCCTCAGAAGTGTATTTCAATCAATCTGCCTATTCTGTTCCCACTCTGTCTCTGGTGAATCTTCTCACCGCCCACACACCTCTGGCCTGTACCCCAGTTCTTGTATGCATAAATAAATAAATCTTAAAAAAAAAAACAACCCTTGCCTGTATTGCTTCCTTGTACTCCTTTATAATCCTCCTCATCCAATCCTCCCTTTTTACTTTACCCTCCACCAGCTCCCACACAAACTATAAATATAGTTTCTTAAACATTAGAATATTTGCATTTTTTTAATTTTATATAGAGCCACACAGCACATACTTTTTTTGGTCTACATTCTTTCAGTATAACTATTTTCGTATCAACATGTTCCTTCATTCTTATTTATGAGTAGTATTTCATCACAAGGCTAGACCATATTCGTCCATTCATTCACAATTTGATGGTCATTTAGATTGCTTCTAGTTGCTATGAAAAATAAACCTGTTGTGAATATTTATGTATCAGTCTTCTTATGTAATATGATTTAATTTTTCTTGGGGAAGGTCCTAGGGGAGAATGACTAAGTATAATATGAACCATAAAACAGGCAATAAGACAACAAAACAAAGAGTTCTAGCTAGTATCCAACAAAGGAGATAGTGGAATAGTTACAAAAAAAATCAACCATTCCCAAGGAAAAAAAAAGTAGAAGAGGAAGGACACATCAAAAATCAAATGGGGGGCCTCCCTGGTGGTGCAAGGGGTTAAGACGCAACCTATGAAGCTAACTGCAGCCACTGCAGCATGACTTTGATCCCAGGCCAGGGAGCAACCCCATGGTGCAACAGACCTCTCCTGACTCACCCGCTGCTCCCCTCAGCAGTGTATTTCAGTCAGTCTGCCTGTTCTGTTCCCCACTCTGTCTCTGGTGAATCCTCTCACCCCCTGCACCTCTGGCCTATACCCCAGTTCTTGTATGCATACATAAATCTTTCAAAAACAATCAAATGGGGTAAATCGATAGCAAATACCAAGATGACAGATTTAAACCTAATCATGTCAACACATTAATATGAATGTTCTAAACACTCCAATTGAAAGGCAGGGATTATTACATTGGATTAAAAAAAGAGATGGTGTAGATCAGAAATGTACTTTAAATATAAACACAAATAGATAGACTAAAACTAATTAAAAAGAAGCAAAGGAAGTTATACCAAAGTAGATTTCAGAACTTTACTGGGACTAAAGAAGAAAATTTTGTATGACGCTGTGGTTAATTCATCAAAAAGAAATAAAAAATCTTAAATATTTGTATGTTTAATAACAGATATTCAAAATACATGAAGCAGAATTGATACAAATGATAGACAAGTTCACAATAGTCAATACTAAAAACTCAATACCCATACTCAATAATTGACAGAACAAGTAGACTAAAAATCAGTAACTATATAGAGACTTGAAAAACACAACCAATCAATTTGACATTATTAACATTTATAAAATGCTCCACCCAAGAGAAGTGTACCTAGACCATTTATTAAGATATATTTACTAAGGTATAAAACAAGTCACAATAAATGTCTGAAATATTGGCTACCTTGGAAAATAAATGTAAAAGGATTCAAGTTATACCAGGCACAGTCTCTGATCACAGTGGAATTAAATTAGAAATCAAAAACATAAAATCTCTGGAAAGTGCCCCAATATATAGCAATTGAATAATATACTTCTATATAACCATGGGCCAAAGAACTCACAAGGAAAATTAGAAAATATTTTTAACTCACCAAACACAAAAGCAAAGCATATTAACATCTGTGGGATGTCTTTAAAGCAATAGTTCGGGAAGACTTACAGCACATTTATCTATCTATCTATCTATCTATCTATCTATCTATCTATCTATCTATCTATCTATCTATCTATTTATTTATACAAGCACTGGGTACAGTCAGAAGCGCGGGAGGGTGAGAGAATTCACCAGAGCCAGAGCCGAGAGCAGAACAGGCAGACTGACGAAGTACACTGCTGAGGGGAGCAGCGGGTGGCAGGAGAGATCTGCGCGCCATGTGGGACCCTCGCCTGGCGGCCGGGTATTGAACCGGCACTGCATGGCTGAACCAGCGCTGCAGTGGCTGCTGGCAGCTTCACAACCCAGTGCTCAACCGCTGTGCCACCGGGAAGGCCCAACACTCATTTTTTTTAAAGAAAGGTCTAACACAGAAGAAAAAGAAGAGCAAATCCAAAATAAGCAAATCCAAAATAAGCATTTGTTATGCAAAAAATAAGATCAGAATAGAATAAATGAAATGAACAATAGAGAAAATCAATGAATCCTAAAGGTGGGTCTGTGAGATTAATAAAATTGATAAACCTTTAATCAAATTGCTCAGGATAAAAAGAGAAAAGATACAAATTACCAACATCAGGAATGAGATAGATGACATCACAGATGCCACAGTCATTAAATGGGTTCTACAGGAATAGTATAATAACATTGCTCATTTGATAATAAACTAGATGAAATGGAAAAAAATCCTTGAAAGCCAAACTGAGAAGTTTCACAGAAAAACAGATTACCTGAACACCTTATATTTATGAAAAAATTTGAATTTGTAGTAAATATCCTTCCACAAAGAGAATTCTATTTTTAAATATATATTTTTGTATTTTAATATACATTTAAATTTATAAAAATAAAAGGGAGTAAACTTCAGACAGGAAATAATGATTAAGACTGGATATGAAATGGAACCGATACAAAAAATTAGACTTTAGTGTTTATTAGTGGGTGTTTCCCCCTGTAGACTGCTTAAAATCATCACAAACATATGTGAGAAAATGGTTTGAATGAGGCTAACCAAGCCCCAAGATGGTTCCCAGTGAGTCTCACTTCCTGTTATGTATACCCTTGTGTACTCACACATTGTGTCAGGGTTAATCTATGTGACCAGCAGAATAATACCAAACTGACAGTGTGTGACTTCAGAGGCTAGGTCATAAAAGGCATTACAACTTCTGCCTTGCCTCTTGAAACACCCACTCTGGGATGAACCAGCTTCCACTGCTTGAGGGGACTCCAGCAGCCTTGTAGAGAGACCTATGGGGAGTAACTGAGTCCTCCAACCTGTCAGTCAAGCCAGGAAGCCACCTGGAAAGCAGATCCTGCACTCCCAGTAAAGGTTTCAAATGACTACAAGCTCTGAACAGACTCCTAGCCAGAACTGCCTAGCAAAGCCACACAGGAATTCCTGGCCTACAGAAATTGTGAGAGATAAAAAATGGTCATTGTTGTTTTAAGTCATTAAGTTTTAGCAATTTGTTATGCAAAAAATAAAAAACTAATGCTTATATATTTAAAATTACACAATTTATTGAAAGACCATGTTAAAGTTTCTGCTCAAAATTTATCACCTTTGAGAGGTTTTCCTAGCCAACCTGTCTAAGATAGCACCTGCATTCATCGTAATCCTTTCCTCTTTGAATTTACACTTGAAAGTTGTGTGTATGTGTTTCTTCTCCACTAAAATGGAAATCACATGAGGACTAGAACTTTATTTTGTTCACTACTGCCTCTAGGCTTAGAATGTCTACAATGTTACCTGGCATATGACAGACAATTGATAACTGTTGAAAGAGTAAATAAATAACAAGTAAAATAATTAATATTTATATTTGCCGTAATAATATACTTGGTTTTATATCTGGGGACAATGGGTAGTAGTGTAGAGACTGAGTTTTGTGTGAATTTTTACTTTTCTTAGAAATGTTTTGTGTTAGAATCATTACAAGAACTTTTTTTTAAGGAAAATAGAAAATAATGATTATACTTGCACTTTCTGTTGATTTGCTTTTATTAAGAGGGCACTGTTGTCGGCAGCCCCTAAAACGAGCCTCAACAATCCCTGACTCCTAGTATTTTTATTCTTCCACAGTCCCCTCCAACAGGGAATAGGGAGACTTGTGCAATCAAAGGGATACTGCATACATGAATGTGACTTCTGAGACAGGTGAGGACACTGAAAATTTTGTATCAAATATCTCATTAGAGTTGAATTGATTCACAAGGTTAAAAAATTAAAAGGAGGCAGCTACCAAAGCAGGTTTCTGAGTCACTCATTTGTTTAAGCATTTGCTGATGGACAATACATTAACTCCTATTTGATTGTAGCAGTCAAAGAAATATATCCAGAGAAAGTTTGTTTAAGGTTACTAGCTTTTCCATGAGAGCAGTTTCTCAGGTGAAGATATTTCAAGCAACATCAATAGTCAACGAAAGAACAAATTAAAGTGATATCGACTGGCTTTCTTAGACTTTTTTATAATAGGTTCTTGAGATATAACTAGCATACCAAGCAATTCACCTATGTTAAGCACAAAATTGCACAACCATCACCATAATCAGTTATAGAACATTTTCATCACTCCATACAGAACCCTTACCCATTAGCAGTCACCTACTTTTGCCACAACCACCAGCCATTGGCAAACTCTAATCTACTTTCTGTCTCCATAGATTTGCCTAATGTGGACATTTCATATAGATGATATCGTGTAATATATTGTTCTTCATGACTCACTTCTTTCACCCAGTATGTTTTCAAGGTTCGTCTGTTTGTGTTGCATCTACCGGTGTTTCATTTCTTTTTATTGGTTAGTAAAATACTATTTCATTGACATACCACATTTTGTTTATTCATTCATCGGTTGGATGATACCTGGGTTGTTTTCCACCTTTTGACTACTATGAATAATTTTGCTATAAATATTTGTGGACAAGTTTGTGTGTAGACATATGTTTTCAATTCTCCTGTGTAAATAGAAATGGAATTTCTAGGTCATATGGTGACTTTAACATTTTCCAAAGCAGCTGTACCATTTTACATCCCATCAGCAAGCTATAATTGTTCCAACTTCTCCATTTTAAAAAAAATTATTTTTATTTATTTATGCATAGAAGAACTGGGATGTAAGCCAGAGGTGCGAGGGGTAAGAGAATTCACCAGAGATAAAGTGGGGAGCAGAACAGGTGGACTGACTGAAGGGAGGAGAGCAGCGGACAACACAGAAGAGGTCTGTTGCGCTACATGGGTTAGCTCCCTGACTAGGGATAGAACTCAGGTTGTAGAGGTGATAGTGCTGAGACTTAACCCCTAGGCCAGCAGGGAGGCTTTTTGAATCATAAGTTGCTTTCTGTATTGCCCAAAGTTACAAGAAGTAAAATGTCCACTACCAGTCAAATGTACAGTATACAGCTTTGCTGAGCTCAAACTATAGTGCCTACAATGTTTTTTGAACTCTAATTGAGTTGTAAAAGAAGTTCCAATATTTCAGAATTCTTTTAACTGTATAATGGAGTATCTCCCATTCAATCTTTAATAGGAGATGATTAGTCTTCTATGTAATAATGTTTTCCAAGGCATGCATTAAAAGAAGAATCTAATAAAATTCTATGAATTTTTTCTGAGCAACAAATATTCTTTTTTTTTTTTAATAGAGGCATGTTCCATTTATTTATTTGTCTGCTTGTTTGTTTGTTTTGTTTATACATGCACTGGGTACAGTCAGAAGCGCGGGAGGGTGAGAGAATTCACCAGAGCCAGAGCGGGGAGCAGAGCAGGCAGAAGGACCGAAGTACACTGCTGAGGGGAGCAGCGGGCGGCAGGAGAGGTCTGCGCACCATGTGGGACCCTCCTCCGGTGGCCGGGGAGCAGCCGGGGATCGAACCGGCGCCGCAGAGGCCGCGGGCAGCCTCGCAACCCAGCGCTCAACCGCTGCGCCACCGGGGAGGCCCAACAACAAATATTCTTAATTAATATTGCAGTGATATCAGTATTCAGCAATATCTACCTGTGTGAAAAGATGTTTTAAAAAATGAAATGCATTAGGTCTCATTATAGATAAGCATCAACAGAAAAATACCTGAAATCACTTTTGATGATAAGAACCAGGGCCTCCCTGGTGGCACAGGAGTTAAAGACAGCGTTATCAAGCTACTGCCAGCCACTCAGGCACAAGTTGTTGCCAGGGAGCAACAACCCACATGGTGCAGCAGAGCTCTCCTGCCCATAACCCCCTTCCCCCACCACCAGCAGTGTATTTCAGAACCTCTGCCTGTTCTGCTCCCCACTCTGGTGAATCCTCACACCTCTGGCTTACACCCCAATTCTTATATGCATAAATAAATAAATCCTTAAAAAAAAAAGAACCATTAACTTTGAATCCTAGTTAAGTGAAATATTATCCCCACCCCCACCAAAAATATTCTCATTAGCAGATATGAATTAAGAAAATTAATGATTTGGGGCCTCCCTGGTGGCGCAGTGGTTGAGCTCTGGGTTGCGAAGCTGCCCGTGGCCTCTGCGGCGCCGGTTCCATCCCCGGCTGCTCCCCGGCCACAGGAGGAGGATCCCACATGGCGCGCAGAAATCTCCTGCCACCCGCTGCTCCCCTCAGCAGTGTACTTTGGTCCTTCTGCCTGCTCTGCTCCCCTCTCTGGCTCTGGTGAATTCTCTCACCCTCCCGCGCTTCTGACTGTACCCAGTGTATAAATAAATAAATAAATAAATAAATCTTAAAAAAAAAGAAAATTAATGATTATATTTTTAATTTCATTAGAAAAAAAATTACAGAAAAATTTTAAATCTATTGTATGTGCCTACATAAAATTCTCTGTTGTCCCACTAGGACTGCAAAACTTAAAATATTTATTAAATGGCCTTTACAGAAAACATTTGCCAAAACATTTGCCTGGTTTTGATGAAACTAATGTGAGAAAAGAGCTAAAGACCAAGTGTTAGAATACTTCTATTCAGGAGTCAGGAGAAGGTAAAGAACTCCTGCAAATAAGAATTAAAAGCAGTGGCAAGGGAGATGGGAGGAAAAGTCAGAGTGTAGCATCTCCAAAACCACTGACAATTTCAGTCAACTGTGTTGAACGGCACTAAGGTAGACATGAAGATTAGTTTTGGATTTGATAATGTGAGGATTGGTGGTGATCTTGGTGTGTAGTTTCAGTGGCATGGTGGTAGTGGAAAAATACAGAAGAAATGGACAACTTAATGAACACATCTATAGTGTTTAGCATTATGTAGGGCAATAGCAAAGAATGAAATTTCTAAACTACCAAATTTCTATACTACCAAAGCAGACAATGCTAGTATCCCATCCATGTCCCCTCACCTCTACCACCTCAGGAATGCCACTCTGACTTTCAATTGTGCAGATGTTCCTGATTTTATTTTCCTGAAAACGTTCTCCAGCTGCTCTATTCACATGCCACAGGCTGGAGTTGCTGGGTAACTAACACCGTCACGGGCAGCCCTCAGCAGTGACAAATAAGAATAATTGTACAAATACTCCAGATTCTTTGCCTCTCAGAGGGGGTAACTCTGAGATACATGTTCTCTAGGTTTCCCCAGTGTTCCCCAGAAGGATTAAGAATGAGAAAAGTGTACCCTTATGCAATTTAAAACAACCATCACCAGAAATTTGATTTGTAGTTATCATACTCTAAGTTAACAGTGAAGATTTGGACTGATCATGGCTGCAGATGCTAATGGTCTCCAGCTCAGGTTAAAGACTGACTGCAAGGTGGGACACAGAAATGACACCATCTATAGCCACTCAGATTATTGTCAATGTTATTGCTATGAAATAACATAATTTTGTTATTTCAATTGTCATCTTCAACATAACTATTATTCCAGAAACATTTTCATCAGGAAGAGAAAAATTGCAAACAGTTATATTGTTCATTTCAGAGACTTTCCAAACTCCCGAAAATCCTAAAATGAACAATGAACTGCCCAACTTTTCAGTATATGACTTCATTGATTTTATTTTTTTTAAAGATTTATTTATTTGTTTGTTTATACAAACACTGGGTACAGTCAGAAGCGTGGGAGGGTGAGAGAATTCACCAGAGCCAGAGCAGGGAACAGAACAGGCAGACTGATGAAGTACACTGCTGAGGGGAGCAGCGGGCGTGGCAGGAGAGGCCTGCGCGCCACGTGAGACCCTCGCTGGCAGCCGGGGATCGAACCAGTGCTGCAGAGGCTGCAGGCAGCTTCGCAGCCCAGTGTTCAATCGCTGCGCCACCAGGGGAGGACCGACTTCGTTGATTTTTTGCATTGTGTGGCCGGCAGAATAAAGGTCCCACAAAAATAACTAAGTACTAACCCCTGGAACTTTTGAATATCTGTGTTGCGTGGCAAAGGGGAATTAAAGTGGAAGATGGAATTTAGGTTGCTAATTCAGTTGACTTTAGAATAGTCATCCTGGATTATCCAAATTGGCCGAAAATAAACACAAGGGTCCTCAGAAATAGAAGAGGGAGGCAGAATAGAAAGCCAGAGTGATATGATTTAAGAAGGACTCAAGTGGTCCTCCCCAGTGATGCAGCGGTTGAGTGCTGGGCTGAGAAGCTGCCCACAGCCTCTGCAGCGCCAGTTCGATCCCCGGCCACTGGTGAGGGTCCCACGTGGCACGAAGACCTCTCCTGCCACTCCTGCTGCTCCCCTCAGCAGTGTATTTCATCAGTCTGCCTGTTCTGTTCCCTGCTCTGGCTCTGGTGAATTCTATCACCCTCCCGCGCTTCTGACTGTACCTAGTGCTTGTATAAATAAATAAATAAATCTTTTTTTTAAAAAAAAAAAGGACTCAAGCCTCCACTGCTGATTGAGGAGGGAGGAAAGGGGCAACAAGCTGAGGAATGTGGGCAGGTTCTAGAAGCTGGAAAAGGGAAGGCAAGGGGTTTTCCCCTAAAAGCCCCCCAAAAGGAATGACCTCGCCAACATCTTGCTTTTAACCCAGTGGGACCTGTGTCAGAATTCAGATTTACAGAATATAAAATGATGAAATTGTATGAGTAGCAATTGAAAAGAAATACATTCCCTAAGACTCTAAAATTCTTATTTTACTGTCACTTCTCCTAACTAATTATATCTTAGTTCTTAGCCAGACCAAACCAAGCCCCCCAAATTGAAAAGCCCCTTTAAACCAGACCCCA